TTCTTTCTTTCTTTCTTTCTTTCTTTCTTTCTTTCTTTCTTTCTTTCTTTCATACCTCAGCTTTCAATTCTAAAGAATGGCTGCTATTCCACTGATGTAGGTTTTAGCTGATATCTTTGAAAGGCTTCTAGAGCTTTCTGTTGCTATTTTTGGAGGTTATTAGTATCTAACTATCTTCCTTCCCTATTGTAACAATGTTTACTCCAATATCTTCTCTCCATAGGTAGACATTTTTCTTCAGAAAATATTATCCACATAGGATTCTTTTTCTTTTAAAAATAATTTAATGGAGATTTGGCAAGAAGTTCAGTTTTACTTGTTAAAAAAGTAAATTTTGAAAAGGAATCGAAATTTCTTTTTGGCTCAGAGTATAAAGTGAGCTACAAACATCAAGCAATATTGAAAGAAAATGCAATAATAAAATTTTCATTTTGCAAAATATGTTACAGTCTAAATCTCTTTCGCAAACAAGATTTTAAAAATGATTAAAATATATTAACATAAAGCCTGACATAGACATCATTGCTTCTGTCTTCTCTATTGAGTTCACTTAAAATTGTGATCCTATTAGTACAATTCTGTCGTCTCAGAAATAATACTGAAATCATTGGGGCATACTCTAGATAAATATGTATAAAATTGCAGCCTGAGTTTCCTTAATATGTAGGTATCCCTTTGTTGTAACAATATTTAGAAACTAACCAAATGATGGTGAATAAAAATGCAATCTTAAATATTAAAGCTTAGTATTATGTCTCTTAATTGAAGCAATTCCTGGTAAGTGACAACTTTGTGAATCATAAAAACAAACAAATAGTAGTGTAAAACAACAATCATAGAGTCCAGCATTTGCATGTTTTTCTAATCATTTATGTAAATAACCCTCCAATTGGTGTTTCCATTGTTTCTAAATACATCCAAAAAACGTGGAAATCAGCAGAGGAAACCTTTACGGCATGAAGAAAGCTACGAAATCTAAATAGTTTTAATTGCCTAAGAAATTCCCTCTTATCTCTCTCCAAATAAAAATCAAATCCTAAAATTTATACCAATCCTTTCATAGAACAGAAAATATTCAGCTGTGTTACACCCTTTGGGTTGAATTGTTGTGATTCTGGCCGATTAAAAGAAGACTCCCACTGCCCTGTTTTTTTCCCTCCCCTTTTTTTCTTTTCCACACAGAGCCGATGAGGGGAGGGGAGGAAGTGAAGGGCCTGTCTTTTTTTTTTTTCAGAAGTGAGAAGATCCCTGATGTTTTTTTTTGTTTTCCTGGGAAGCTGGAGTTGTAAACTGCTTTAATTTTGCAAGCAGCCTGAAGAAGTGGAGTGACGCCAATTTACTTGCTGGGCACAATTCCTTGGGAAACTCTTCTCCTCAAGGTAACTGGAAATCTTGCAACTTGTGCCTCCATCTCCCATTCACCTTGCTTTGCCTTGCGTAGCATATCTTTCCAGAGATGGAACCCATTGTCGTCCCAAATATTGCTTTGTAGGCACTTTGAGGGGTCCCTCCTTGATGAAGATGTCCTATAATTTATAGGTAGGAAATATGAAATGTATTTTGGTGATTGTAAGTAGCATACTTTTAAAAGGAACACATTTCTCAGCAGTGTCCACTTCTTATCAACATCTATTTAGCCAAATAATGGGTACATTTTTAAAAACAAAAAATTGCTCATTTCAATGTGAGTATAATTCTGCTGTTCTGATATCAGTTGATTGGAGATTGTACTGGCACACAATTCAGTAATCTACATTTTGTGTCTTACTTCCTGCAAAGGGTCAGACCTGTGTGTTTAAGCCTAAATCACATAGAAAACAGAAGATGTTAAGAGCAAGATTCGGTTATTAAGCTCATATAATAAAAGTAAACTCAGCTGTGCAAAATTTTCCTGAAGTTTCATAATGCAGGAAAATAAATAGTTGGTGGGGGTTTACAATCCCCTAGTTCTTAAAATTAATCTGCAATTCCTTTTTCCTTTTTCTTGAATAAACTAGGGCTTAGGCACATAGCTTATTTATCCAATTTGGTCATTAAATTAAATCATTTGGAGAGAAATCTACATGCTCTTCCTTAACATTTTCTGTATGAGATGTTTCAAATATTTAACCTAACAATGTGACATGCAAAAGCCTGACAGACACAATCTATACACATCTACTGGAGTGCTAGGGTTGCATTCTTCTGCTAAATGTATCCTTGTGCCCAGCTTTAGTTTTCCTCTGTGTATTATGTGAAGTATCCCTTAGGAGCCATAGAGATCTACTGTGTGCATTGATAGTTCAGGATCACACTCTTCAATGTTAGTCCAGATGTCTAAGTGTGTGTCATTCCTTATATGTCCACCACGTTAAGCAATTGCTACAAAATACACTACTCCAAACTTATTAAGAGTTTGGGAGGATTTAATTTGATTAATTGCTAATATCCATCTGTTTCTGAATCAGTTTTTCCAATACAAATATATCAGACTACAAAACAAAAAAGAGAATAACTACAGCTCAGGGTTGAAATGAGAGGTCCTTAGTGCTGTCTGAGCCTGGTTGTTTTTTTGTTGATATTTCATTACCTAAAGGAGGTAGCATCATCCCAGTTAGTCTAATACGCATGTTACCTAGTTTGGATAATAAACACCTGCAAGAAAACAAAGCTCAAAGAGTACTGAGGACCCCTCAGGCTGAAAACCTTATCACCTCCACATCATTTTAAAAAATGTGCAACCTGAATTGGGCATTAGAACAAATTTTAACATCTTTTGGCATGAGTCAATTTTTGACATGAGAGTTTATTTCACTTTGGGATTTCACATTGCACATAGATCGATAGCTTATACAAAATCATAATACACTGCTTTAGACCCTTATAGATGGAAACAATCCCGAACAAATTCATTAGAATAGTTAACTGCAAATGATTAATTTCCCAAATAAAGGGACCAAACTATTCATCTGTGTAGATATTCCAGCTGTATAGTGTTTCATATGAAAACAGCTGTTTTGCGTCTGTTTGAA